TACGAGCTTCTTGTGATTATACAACTGATATATGTAGACCTTTTGATGGTCCATCTTTTGGTGGAGAGAAATATTTTATCACCTTTATTGATGATTTTTCATGTTATAGTTATATTTATCTATTACATGATAAATCTCAATCAATTAATGCTCTAGAGATGTATATTAAAGAAGTTGAGAGGCATTTAGATAAGAAAGTAAAAATTATAAGGTCGGATAGAGATAATGAATATTATAGAAGGTATGATGAATCGGGATAATGTCCAAGTCCATTTGCAAAATTTCTTGAAAGACATGGCATTTGTACTCAATACATAATGCTAGGTATAACACATCAAAATGGTGTAGCAGAAAGATGAAATCATACTTTAATGAAAATGGTTAGGAGTATGATGAGTCGTTCATCTTTACCCTTATCTTTGTCGACGTATACATGAAGAATTGCCATGTATTTACTAAATAGTGTTCCTAGTCAAGCAATTTCAAAGACTCATTTTGAGCTTTAGACATGAAGGAAACCTAGTTTAACTCATCTACATGTTTGGGGTTATCCGGAAGAAGTAAGAATTTATAATCCATATGAAAAAAAATTAAACTTTAGAACAACCGAGTGGTAATTTCATTAGATATCCAAAAAATCCCATAGGGTATAGATTTTATTATCCTAATTATGGTACATGAATTGTCGAATCTGAAAATGCTAAGATCATTCAAAATGATGACATTAGTGGGAGTGAGAGAATGCCCGATGTTAGCATTTAAGAAATTAGGATGGAAATTCTTATTTCTAAAGCTTCTCCATGAAATTATATTTCAATCCAACAATGGTTAAGAACAACAAATAAATGATCAAACTCTCCAAAATGAAATCATCAATAATGAACTAGTTATAGTAAAACCACCAAGAAATGGCATTAAAAAGATCTTAGAGAGAAAAGAGATCTATAATTTTCAACGACTACATAATTTATCTACAAGAGTCAAAAATTGACTTTGGAATAGCTAATGATCTATTTTCGTTTGCACAAGCCATGGAATGTAATGATTTAACTAAGTCGATAAGTGCCATTGAAGAAGAGTTAAAATCTATGAATCAAAATCAAGTTTGGGATCTCGTTAAATTGCCTAAAGGATGTAAAAAGATTGGATGTAAATGGGTCTTTAAGACAAAATGTGACTCGAATGGCAATATTGAATTATATAAAGCTAGACTTGTCGCCAAAGGTTTTACTAAAAAAGATGGCATTGATTATAAAGAGACACCAATCTTAAAAAAAGATTTCCTTAGAATAATCATAGCTTTAGTGGCTCATTATGATTTGGAGTTACACCAAATGGATGTTAAAACTCGCCTTTCTAAATGAAATTTGGAAGAAGAAGTTTATATGGACCAATCCGAGGGCTTTCCAATTAAAGAAAAGGAACAAATGGTGTGTAAATTAAAAGAAATCAATATATGACCTTAAATAATGTTTCATACAATGGTATCTTAAGTTTAATGATATTATCACTTCTTTTGGATTTCAAGAAAACTTCGTTGATCGGTGTATAAATATGAAGATCGGTAGGAGCAAGTTTATTTTTCTAGTTACGTATGTTAATGATATTTTGCTTCGTTGCTAATAACCTTGACTTGTTATATGAAACCAATAAGTATCTCTATAGGAATCTTGAAATGAAAGATATGGGAGCGGCAACCTATATGATTAGAATAGAAATATTCCGTGATAGATCACAAGGATTGTTAGGATTGTCATAGAAAATCTATATTAATAAAATTCTAGAGAGATTTAAAATGAATAAATGCTCAATAGGGGTAGTTCTAATTCGGAAGGGAGATAATTTAACCTTATGCAATGTCCAAAAAATGAATTGGAACGAGAGTAAATGAAAAATATTCCTTATGTATCTCTTGTTGGAAGTTTAATGTATGCCCGGACATTAGTTTTCTTTGTCAAAATGTTGGACGAGATATCAAAGTAATCCCGGTATAGATCATTGAAAAGTTGCAAAGAAAGTTCTCATATACTTACAAGGAACGAAGGATCACATAATCACTTATAAAAGATCCGATTGTCTAGAGATGATTGGATTATTCGGATTTCGATTTTGTTGGATGTGTTGATTTAAGAAAATCTACATTTGGTTACTTGTTCCTATTATCATGAGAAGCGAGTTTCATGAAAGAGTGTGAAGCAATCTATCATTGTTCATCCATTATGGAAGCCGAGTTTATAGCATGCTTTGAGGCCACCATTCATGGATTATGGTTGAAGAACTTTATTTTAGAACTTGGGATTGTCAATAGTATTGCCGAGCCGTTGAAAATTTATTGTGATAACTCCATTGCGGTTTTCTTCTCTAAAAACAACAAGTATTTTAAGGGTGCTAAATATATAGAAATCAAATACTTTACCGTTAAAGAAGTTCGAAACAAAAAATTTCAATTGAGCATATTAGTATAAATCCTATGATTGCGGATCCTTTGACTAAAGGATTGGCAACCAAAACATTTAATGAGCATGTTGAAAGGATGGGCATTATTAGACGTCATTAGTGATATTGTGTTAAGTTCTTATTAATTTTATGTATTTAATACTACGAGCTCACTTATATGTTTCTAATATTTCTGTTTTTTATTTTCTATACATAATTGCTTTAGAATAATATGATCGGGAGTAGTCTTACAATAAATATATTAAAGTTGGAGAATGTAAGATTAATTATGACCCACATAATAAATGTATTTAGAATGATGCATGATACATGCATCTAAAATATATAATTAAATGTAAACCATATTGGACATTGTATTTAAATTAAGTGTATCTAATTAATTAAGATACATATTTTAATTTGATACAAGTATATATGTAATTATGATACATGTATTGATTATGATACATGTATAGTTAAAATGTATGAATGATACATAATATATGTATCTAAAATATATAATTGAATGTGAACCATATTGTACATTATATTTAAAATGTATCTAAGTAATTAAGATATATATATTAATTTGATACATGTATATATGTAATTATGATACATGTATAGTTAAAGTGTATGAATGATACATGATACATGTATCTAAAAATATATAATTAAATGTGAACCATATTGTATATTATATTTAAAGTGTATCTAATTAAGATACATGTATTAGTTTGATACGTGTATATATGTAATTATGATACATGTATAGTTAAAGTGTATCTAATTAAATAAGATACATATAATTAATGATAATACATGTATAATTAAAGTGCACCTAATCAATTATGATACATGTAATTAATAATAATACATGTACAAGTCTTGATGGGAAATTTGGGTTCGGACTATAAAAGGAGTTGGTCTTCTCTTTGGCTCTCAATGAAAAAAAAAATTACAGAACAAAAGAAAAGCTAAGTATTTCGATTTCCATCATTAAGAAGAGATGAAAAGAGAGAAACCATTCTTTACATATTATATACTTCATAGTATTGATTAAGGTCTAAGCATGAATTAAGGAATGTTTTCTTTTAAATTATGTGACAAGCACAAAGTTCTAAGATTTATGGGTATGATGAATTTATGTCATTCATTTCACATAATCGTTGATTGTGGTGTTATGATGATGAAACTTATGTCTTATTGATCCGCCAAATTATATTTAAACTTTCAATATAATTTGGCGGATCAATAAGACATAAGTTTCATCATCATGAGCACCACAATCAACGATTGTGTGGAATAAAAGATATAAATTCATCATACCCATAAATCTTAGAACTTTGTACTTGTCACATAATTTAAAAGAAAACAAACCTTGATTCATGCTTAAACCTTGATCAATACTATGAAGTAGATAATCGGTAAAGAATGGTTTCTCTCTTTTGATCTCTCATTTAATGATGGAAATTGAAATCCTTAGTTTTTCTTTTGTTCTGTAATTTTCATTGAGAGCAAAAAAGAGGACCAAACTCCTCTTTTTATAGTCTTAACCTAAGTCTTTCATCAAGACTTGTACATGTATTATTATTAATTATATGTATCATAATTCATGAAATACATATATCATAATTGATTATGTTCATTTTAATTATACATGTATTATCATTAATTAAATGCATCTTATTTAATTAGATACACTTTAACTATGCATGTATCATAATCAATACATGTGTTATAATTACATATATACATGTATCTAAAATATATAATTGAATGCGAACCATATTCTATATTATATTTCCAGTGTATCTAATACTAACATAAGATTAATTATGGCCTACATGATAAATGTATCTAGAATAACAAATGATGATGTATCTAAAATATATAATTGAATGTGAACTTGGTAATTGTTTTTTTCTGGGGGCACGTGAAATTTCTTAAAACTTGGAGGGGTGGGGTTGGGGCTGAAAATTGGGGTATGCAAGTAGGTCCATATGCTTACATATACCATCTCAAATGAGGTTCGATAAGAACCCAACTCAAAAAGGCAATAGCTAGGTGGCCGAGAGATCCTTAAACTGTACTCAACCACGGTGTGGGACTCCTGTCCCCAACGTGATGTACATATCTTAATTGTGTTTGATTCATGTTTCTCGTAGCATTCAGCAAAGAAAACTATTTGTTGAGTCTGCCAATTGCTTGAACTGTGAAATTTATAATTCGCGAGAAAACTTTCTTTAATTTTCGAATATCTTTTGTTGTGAGGGAAATAGTAATTGCATTAAAAAGGATTCCGAGATGCTTTATTGTCAAGGGTAATGATCTCTTGCAACAAGAAGTTAGAAATTCAAATCTTAACAGATTAGTTCTATTAAAAATTTTGGGTGTGTGAGTAAAAAAAAAAAAATGCTTTATTGTCATAAAAAAAAATATTGGTTCACATCCACTGACACAACTACAGAACATAAAATTTTATCATGGTGCAGAAAAAGAACTTATATCAGTGCATAGAATGAGTTGTTCTGCTCCACTCATGATGTTGTTGAAAATTGTAAATGGTAAAAAGCCTGTTAATTACTTAACCATGCCAAAGCTCTTATATGATAGCAATTTTGGATTTTCTAATGTCTTAATTAGGTTCCTCAACGAAGCCCTGCTTACTGCAAATGGCTCAAAGGAAGATGGAAAGTGTGTAGCATTGGTGAAGTTGAAGAAGCTGAGGCGGTACTTATGCTTGTTCCCATATTTAGTGCATGCTTGATATATGCTATTGTTTTTGCACAGTCCTCGACTTTCTTTGATAAGCAAGGAGCAACCATGGAAAGATCAATTTCACCAGGTCTTGAAATTTTCGCGGCATCACTTCAATCCCTCATTTCCCTTTCCATTGTTGTTCTTATTCCAGTCTACGACTCTTTCTTTATTCCTATGGCAAGAGCTATAACCAGGAAACCTTCTGGCCTTACAATGCTTCAGAGAATTGGAACTAGGATGTTTTTATCTGCTCTGTCTATGGTAGTTGCTGCTCTTGTTGAGATGAAGAGACTGAAAACTGCTCAAGAAAATATGGACTACTTGATCTGCCAAATACGACAATTCCAATAAGTGTTTGCTGGTTAATTCCTCAATATATCTTCTTTGGAGCTGCTGATGTTTTTACGATGGTTGGCTTGCAAGAATTTTTCTATGATCAGGTCCCAAGTGAATTGAGGAGTGTTGGTCTTTCACTCTACCTTAGTATCTGTGGTGTTGGAAACTTTCTAAGCAGTTTTCTTATCTCTGCCATTGAAAGGGCAACTGGTGGGGATAGTTATGATTGCCGGTTTGCTAATAACCTGAATCAGGCTCATCTTGGATTACTTTTATTGGCTATTGGCTGGACTAAGTGCTGTCCAGTTTTTCAAAGTCCTACATTTATAACAGGGGACGCACAAGATAAAAGCACCGATTCTTCACTTGTTTTTCTGCAAATTCTTCATAAGCTCACAATGTTTGACTAACGATTCTTACCTGAAAAAATCCCGTCTCTCTCTCTTTTCTTTCAGAACCGAAACATCTCTCAATACTCTTTTTCAAACGATCCTTACCGAATGATTTTTTTCAAAATCATGAGCTGCCTTGACATCTTGTTTATAACAAAAGGATTAAGTTTTCATGAATGCTAATAATATCATATACTTGGGATACAGATCACAGCAACAAAAATTACTTCCATGCATTATGAACAAATATCACAAACTAAGAGATCTTATAGCTAGTAATTTATTTTTTCAGATAAAATTATTTTAAGCCACAACTATAGTGTTATGAATCTTTTAGTTATACCAAAGACTCTTTTGTGTAAAAAGAGTAAATTATAATTTTGTTCCTCATGTTTTGATGATTTTATAAGTTAGTTCCTCTGGTTTAGAAAATTACAAGTTAGCCTCTTGAACAAAATTGACTATTAATTCTCTTTGTTGTCCAAATAGCCATTCTCATGTGTATTTTATTATTTTATTTTTATTAGGTGAGATTGGAAATTTAACTAGAAATAAAGAATATTTTAGGAAGAAATTAAATTGCGATGGAAAACCAATACATAATTTTTTTTCGATAGTAAATGGAAAACCAATATTGAAAGGAATTTACAAACAAATATAAAATATATAGTTTCAATATTAGGTTAGTTTAAACCGAAGAGATTAGACAAGGATTAAATATTTATTTATTCATATAGAAAAGGTCAATAGGGAAGTGGCGAAAGAAGAAGAAGAAGAAGAAGATGATGATGATTTTCTGTAAGGAAAAAAAAAAAACCTTTTTAATGTCTGCATTCAGTCATACGTACTCCGAAATTTGGAGGACTACAGCCAGATTGATCCAGCTTCGAAATCTACTGTCACCATATCTAGACCAATGGAACATGGCCCTCCTCTTATACCTTACATTCCAAGACCAACACTGCCATATCACCCAAAGCACGGCAGGTTCGATTCACCTCTTTCCCCTGCTTAAACATTTTATCACCAGCCAGAAACAAGTCCTTACATCAGATATGGTAGTTTTGATATACGGAGCTATTTCGAAGTTCAGGTTGTTGTTTGAAGTCTTACATCAGGTAGTCAGCATATATGACAAGCCGCCTTTAGTTTGTTTTCCTTCTATGACGAAGTCTTAAAAGGCAAACCTGTATACTGCATTTTAGCAAAATTACTAGTCTAATTCTTGTTTTTGGCTTTTTGCAATGAAAGGATGTTTTCTACTTATCAATAAAATAAAATAAAATAAAATAATTAATAAAAAATAAAAAGAAATTTTAAATTTTATATATCTAATTTTTAAGATAAATAAGAATAAGGATTAAAAAACTAATTTTATCAATTAAGATGGTAATAAAAATGATATAGGTAATTGCAATTATGATGGTAGTGGAGGAGGAGGTGGTAGTAAAAGTAGTATAGTAACAGAAAAAAAAAATATATATATATATATATACACCAACACCGTCAAAGGTGGTAGTAAAAAAACAAATAACGGTGATTGTGGTATAATAAAAATGGTGGTGGTAGAGGAGAAGAAGTGGTGGCAAAATAATAGTCATAATTTTATATATATACACACACACCAACACCGTCAAAGGTGGTAGTAAAAAAACAAATAATGGTGATTGTGGTATAATAAAAATGGTGGTGGTAGAGGAGAAGAAGTGGTGGCAAAATAATAGTCATAATTTTTTTTTGAATTTTTTTTATCACTACTTTTAATGGTGGCGGCGATGATGGTGTTAGTAGTGGAGGTAATCGTAATAACCTAAAAAAAAGTGGCTAGTATAAATAAGAGCGAGTAATTGCCTCTATTTCTAGAATTTTCCCTTCTTTTCTTCTCCCCTTTCACGCTACTTCTCTCCCAAAACTTCTCCTAACATTCTCTTCAATTCCTAAAGTAATCCATTGTTCAATTAGCTTAGGAAGACCATAAATAAGAGGATTCAAGTGGAGTTTAGCTAGCTTGGAGAACTTGGAAGAATTTGGGATTTGAAGATCATATTGTAAAAGTAAGATTTATGATCAATTAATCTTTGAATTGTAATGCTTATAAGTAGTTAATAATGACATTGAATTGAAGTTGCTTGGGATTGTGAATTGCTTGGAGAATTGATTAGAATAAGGTTAGGGCTTTGAGACACATTTAGGAAAAAGTGATTATAGGTGATTATAATGACTTGAATGATGTTTAATTATCTTGGTTAAGTGAATTAAGAAATTAATTTAAAGTAAAATTGAATGAATTTGAGAAATGAAGAGGTTAAAGATGATGAATAGGGACAAATTCAAAAATTTAGGAAAAGGAAGGAATTAAGCTATCTAAATGCAATTAAAGGTTAATGGCATGAGTATTGGATGAATTAAGATGGAATTGATTATTTAATTAAAGGTTGATTGATTAAGGGTTTGAATTAGAGGTTTATCATAAAGTTGAATTAAGGATTGATAATGAGATATAATTAGATGATTATTGGAACTGCTTGAGAGACTATAGAATTATTCCAATTCTATTCTTATGAGTAATCTTGTATTTCTAATTCTAGAATAATTAATTATTTGGATTATTTTTTGTTATGTGATATTGATGATTGTCCATCATTATATGTTATTAGATTCTTTGAAGCGGGCTACTCCTTCACAACCACCTTGATTCCTTTCGGTTCTCCATTTGTAATGTGAGAGGATATTAGATAACGTATTGTGTTTTAAATCCCTTGATTGTATCCATCATGTATCATTGATTTATGAATGATTTAGAAGCATTCTATTGAAACTTCGATGGGAACGAGACTTCATAATATTTGAAATGTTTTCGTATCAAAATGATTTGATATGAATGAAAAAAATAAAATTTTCATATGTTGGATAAATGGGTTAATGGTTTCGATATGTGTTTTTGAAATTGAACATGAATGTATTATTCGCTATTTTGAGTATCCATATAATTTTTTAAAATACATGTATGATATTTGAAATACCGATTTAAAAATATATATAAATATGTTTGTTTTTTTGAAAAAAGCTTTCAAGACCCTAGGAAACTTAGCTACCGGAGGTAGCCTTTAAGCTTAATGATAGAAGCTCCAGCTAATAGGAGAGGTGTAGCGCTAGCCTATGTGTCGGCCAACATACAAAAACTTAGTCATGGGGGGTAACTTTTAGGTGTTCGCACTCAATGATACGTTATTACCTCGCGAGTGTATAAAAACCTATGTATGAGATTTTATATGACTATGATATATGTACCTATGAATGATTCAATGATGTGATAAGAAATGGTTTTGAACCATTTAAATTTGTGTTATATGATTCGGTTTTATAATGTGCATTGTATTGGAAAATTAGCATTGCATTTTATATATTTTATAGAAAATGATACCAACACCATAAGAGGTGGCAGTAGAAAAAAAAAAAAGTAATAGTAATTTTGGTTTGAAAAAAGTAATGGTGGTGAAAGAGAAGTCATGGCAAAATAATAGTCATAATTTCTTTTTTTTTTTTTTTTATCATCGTTGTCAATGGTAATGATAATGGTGTCAACAATGGAGGTTGTTATGGTAGTAAAAATAGTTGATACTTAATACACAAGCATAATTTATCATTATTATTATCATTTATTCCATTTCATTCCTTGCTACTAAACAACACTTTTGAGTATTTTAAAATTTATTCGGTGCATGACAAAAAATAAGTAAAAAGGTGAGGACTGGATGTATATTATACTCCTTATGTCCCAAATAGATCATTCCTTTGAGTTTTTTTTTTAAAAAAAAAATTTAAGAAAGTTTTTAATCATTATGCCATATCAATATTTTTTATTGATACTTTTTTAAAATATTCTTTTGTTAAAAATGTTAGTTATCAAATTAGTCTTTCATTACATGGAATCAATATTAATTTAAAAAAAAAATCTATCCAAAATTAAGATGAAAAATAAAAAAAAAATCATTAATTAATGATCAAGTTTAAAACAGTTACAGAAAAATAATATTCTAATAGAAATATTTTACTCCTAAAATTTCAGCATCTAGTAAAGTTTTTACAAGAATGAATATTTTCCATGTAACAAAAATAAATTGAAAATTTTATATTAAATTTATTTATATGCATAAGGAAAAAATATAAAGAATATTGATTTTTTTTGGGTAAGACATAAATAGAAATAAAAATAATTTTTTAAGACAAAAAAATTACCTAAAAAACTGAAAGAATAAGCATTTTTACTATTTAAGTATTGTTCATTTAGACCCAGATTTCTAAAAACCTAAAAGAATAAGCGTTTTTACCATTTAAGTACTGTTCATTTAGACCCAGATCAAGAATTGACTCATACACTTTCTTGGTCATCAAGAAAGTATATTGTACAAGTACCTATAATGAAAGAAGCTGATCTCCAGCCACCAGAAGTTGATCTGTGAACTGGGTTGCCGTTGTAGTCAACGGAGCCATTAACGTTGTCTTCTGCCGCTTCCATTAGAGTAGTATTCGTGCTACTGCTTTCGATGCCTGAAGAAATATTTGAAAGATAAGATTTAGTCATGGTCAGCTAGCTTGATTAGTTAGATATATAGCTGCTTTTCCACGCAACAAAATGAAGGAAAAAAGAACTCTTCTATACTGTGCTATTGGTTAAATGAATTTTCTATGAACCACAAAATCAGTAAAGAAATTTTCTCCCGAAAATTTTCATATTGAAAAGCTTTCTTTTTTCCTCAAATTATGTCTCCTTCATTTTGTTTCAATTCCTAAAACAAGAAATAAAGTTACTTATCTTACTTGAATTGCTCTGAACTTTGATGCCACTGTCTAGCATCATCTTCACCAGGTATAAGTACTGGAGGAGGAGTAGTCTGCCGGTTCCTAATTGCTCTAGCAATCACCCGACAAATTCTCATAAATGGATTTTTCTCATTCCCATTAACACTATACCTCTAAGTTCTGCTTCCAAGCAAGAAAACAAGCAGGGCAGCTAC